ATATATATATATATATAGTATATTTGTCATATATATGTTGTGCCTTATTTACCCAAAATGCGGCAGTGAAACCAGAAACACCAGCAGAGAGGTGAACAACAAAGCCACCGGAGTAATCTATAAGCCCAAGCTTGGCTAACCAACCATCTGGACACCATATACTAAAAGCCACAACCGTGTACGACAACGTGACCCAAAGAGGCACAAACAACATCCAAGCACGAAAATTCATCCTCCCCAACAACGCACCCGCTATCAAAATCAACGTGATCGCCGCAAACATGCCTTGGAAATACACCATCGTGGCATTAGGAAACAGCCCCAAAAAAGCCTGCCTTAGAAGGAACTTCTCGTCCAAGGCAACCGCCGGCTTCCCCAAGAAAACGACAAGCTTTTCGCCGAACGACATGCGGTAACCCCACCCCACCCAGCACACCAAGACCGCGGCGAAGGCGTAGAAGGCCATGAACGCTGAGTTCACTGCCCATTTCTTCTTGACCACGCTTCCGTAGAGGATGACGAGGCCCGGGAGGCTTTGGAGGCCGACGAGCGTCGCCGCGGTGAGCTGCCACGCGTTGTCCGCCTTGTTCATCCACTCCGGGCTCGCCTCGTCGGGCTTAAGGTTCGCGGGGAGCTCCATTGTTAATTTGATAAGTATTGATGCCAATTATAAGAAAAAAAACATATATAGGTGATATTATATATATAGGAAATTAGCTAGGGTACCTGTGAATATTATGGGAAGGGGGGGTTAATTTGTAAGTTTTTGCATGGATATGCATGCAAAAAAAAAATAAAAAAAAATAAAATGAAAGTTATTTTGTTGAAAGAATATAACTGGGGCCGGCATGTGTTGCCCAAGTTGGCTTGAACTTGAACGTTTTTTGTTTTAATTTGACTGCTTGTAATTGTATGATTGAAAAACGTCCATTGGGTACGTCCACAACAAACGTCCCATGTTGTTTTATGTTGTGTTGGAACATGTTCATATAGGATAAAATAAAATTGATGTCAAATATATGAACTCCGTATAATTAGTATATCATGATATTTTGTTATCACATGACACAAACCACTGCTAAATTTTTTGGCCAATTTGCGACAAAATTATTTACAACGATATTCACGTATTTGTGACGATATAACGTCACAAATACATTTCGTACAATAGGAAAATATTATCGTTGTTAAAAACTCACGTCGTCATAAATATGTAGTTGGCAGCAAATGTTGTGTAGCACCAACGTTTGCCACCAAAACAACATTATTTGTGATGACAGGTCGTCGCAAATAGTTAATTACTTGCGACGACATAAGTCTTCGCAAAAAATATTTCATTTATTTATTGTTCCCCAAATAAAAAGGGGTCATTTTGGCGGTTCCTAAAATTTATTTGCGACGAAATTAATACATGTCGTTGAAAATACTGATTTTGAATTACTTCTCTAAAGTAAAAGGCGGGAAAATTGGGCAGTTCCCCAAAAGTTATTTGCGACGACATTAATATATGTCGTTGCAAATAATAATTCTGGAACCTACGTTATAAATATTAAATAATTAAGTTATATTTGTGACGACACGTGTCGTCACAAATAGTTTTATAAGTTATATTCGTGACGACATGTCGTTGCAAATATTCTTTTTTGTCATCGCAAAAAACTTTGTCTATATACCCACGACCAGAGCCTCCTCCTCCATTTTTTTCGATCTATCTCTCTTTCTCTCTCTCGGTCTCTCCCCGGTTTTCCGACCCCAAACCCCCAAAATCTCCATCTATTCTCTTCTAAATCCTCACCAAATCAACATTATCATAAGTTTTAATTGTTTTTTCATCAAAAGAAGTTTAAAAAACAAACTCCCTGCCATCGCCGTCAAAGTCCGCCGCCGCCGCATTTTGCCTATGCTATTTTCAGCCCCCGTTTTAGTGGGTTTGAACTTTGTAAGTTTTTACATATTTATTGTATTTTTTAGTTTAAAATATTTGAGTTTTTTGTTGTTTGAATTTTGTATTATGGATTTTGAATTTTGAATTTTGATTTATAGATTTTAGAATTAGTATGTAATTTGAAGTTTGGATTAAAGATATTGAATTTTGGATTATGAATTTTGAGATTATTGAAATTTGGTATTGAGATTGTTGAAATTTTGAGATTATAATTTGATTTAGGTTAAAATTAAAAGTTTTGATGATTGTTCTGGGTGGCACATCTTGCAGTTATGGTGTGCCGAAATCTTTTAAAAGCTATTTTTTCGCAGGTTTGAAGTTTTGGATAATAAGGAAAATATGTCGTTATGCTGCTGAAATTTTATCAAAACCTAATTTTAAGAATTTCATTAATAAGAATTAATTATATTAATAGAAAGTAAATTAAAAATTAATTATAAACATTATGAGTGCAATAATAATAGAATAAATTATTCATAAAAATTGATAAAACTTATAAAGTTGAAACAGGAACTATAAAATTTTCTTTATGAACGTGACTATATTGTCACAAGAAAACCTATTTTTATACGACACATAGTCACGATGTCTGGCCTAATAGCTACATGCGCCGACTCTGCAGGAGGATCACAGCCTCCACCTGATCCGACGAGACTCCCGGCACATTGTCAGCAAGGTATTATATGCTATAACACATAAACAGTATTTTTTATTCGTCGAACTCTATATAATCAAATTAGGTTATTTTTATTTTCTTACAGTTCTAGAGCCGACACTTCGACGTCAATTTGGTCGAGGGGTAGCTCTAGGTTGAGATATAGTTGAGAGGGTACAAAGAGATGGGAAGCTTTTTGTCTTGTTTGACGAGACCGGTACGTGGAAGGCGATTGGCGAAAACACCCCATATTTTGACAGTGTTGTCGGCTTGCACACAAGAGATATCTGTGACCCATACTACAACGGCTGGAAGGACATGCCTGAGGAGCACAAAAGAAGGATTCAAAATCGCATGCCAGTATCTATTTGAAACAAAATTTGTTCTAAAAATTTAATTGTGGATGCAATATATAAAATTTATTTGTTGATTTTTTAATGTGCCCCATGATTGGTTTAACCTCGATTACGACCGCGACAACGACATCATAAGAGATGTAGTCGACCGTGAGGCCAGTAAATATTACAAGGACTGAAAGACTACCTTGCATAGACACTTCCAGAAGATAGGATGGGCAGAAAAGGATGATTTTGTTATGCAAAATTCTCCTAAAAACTTGATGAGAAAAAAGCAATGGGGACCTTGCTGTGATCGTTTTATGTCCCATACTTTTTAGGTTCAATTTCATTATGTCTTCTTATTTGTGATTAATTGGTTTATTTAATTATTAAGTATGATACTAATTCATCTATGACCAATACTAGAAAAAATCTGCTACAAATCAACAAAATCATGGCAGTCAAAAGTGGTCTAGCTTCCATGGTAGAAAGTCATACTCCCAGCATCTTTTCGATAAGGTAATACTAATTTGCATACTTGTTAAGTTTTTATCACTTTGGCTTACTAATTATTCTAACACGTCCAACTTGATTAGGCAAATCCCGAGACCCAGGAGCTAAGATCATTAATTGAAAATTAGGGTGACATGCACCGTCATAGGCAGAATTTTGTCAATCTGGACGTGGAACAGACATTTGTAAGTAATTATTTCTTTTTTCATATTTAACATAACATATTATACTATTTTTATTCATTTTTATTTCATTTACCTTTGCAGGCTCAGATGGAGAGGGAAAGAACCACGTAGATGACACAGTCTTCTGGCGAAGGTTCATCCCCGGCGGTCAATGAGGAAGGGATTATGTCCCAAGTCTTGGGCAAGCGCAGGGGACACACTAAGGGAGTGAGACCAACACTGCCATGAAGGAATCGTTCAAGCGCTTCCACCTCATCATCTGCTTCGCAATCGAACAGGTCGTCTTTCGTTAATTTGCCCCAGCATGTCCAAAATTGGCTGAACAACCTCTACGTCGAGCAATGCAACATGTTCGACAACCAGCAGATCATGATGGAAGACATGCGCTCAATGAATCCCAACATCAACTTCTTGCCAGTTAACCATCCCCAACCGTTGGTTCCTCTGCCGCCTGAGCGAAACGGAGAAGACAAGGATGAGGACGACGATGCTGTTAAATTAGGAGATTGAAATATCTATTTTTGTTTTTCTTATTATCAAAATCAATTTTATTGTTAAATTTTTTTTTCTAATTTATATATTTAATAATTAATATTATTAGGAAAGTACGGTAAAAAAAAAAAGAAAAACATTTTTTACGATGACTAATTTAAAATGTCGTCGCAAATAGTCCACATTATTAGCAATGACACTTTGAAGCGTATGGCCGCAAAAAGTTTTAAAAACTTTTGCGACGACATATGTCATCGCAAATAAGTTAGGACACGTCATCATCAACGACATGTTCGACGGAACATTCGTAACGACTTATTCGCGACGACCGTTGTCACTAATGTATTAGCAACGACATCTCAAAACTATGTCGTCGCAAATATATTATTTACGCCTATTTATTTGTGACGACTAATTTGCGTCACAAATATAATTTTTTTGACGATAATATAGTTATTCACGACGACATTGCGTCATCATAAATAAGTTTTTTTGTCGGAAGAAAATTAAAGGAAATTAGTGATATATATATATGCACTGTGGCCACAACATTAATTAACAGTTAGATAGTATATATTTTCCTTCAAGTGGTCGTGCAGGGGTTTTTGTTATATGTCTGGTCGTACAGAGGTTTTGTCCATATCCTCGATTGAAATATTAAGTGAGAGTACATATAAGCGGCATCAGTTAATATGAAAATGCATCACTCTTTGTGTCTCTGTTTGTTTTATTTAAATTGAGCTCTATTTACACAATTCTCGATCATTTCCCTTCTTTTTTCTTGGGTCTACATTAATTATCTTATTGAAATTTTATTTAATCACACGTACGCACGCATAATATAAAATGTGATACGACTTATACTGTGATATATATATATATATATAATTAACGTACGTGTAATAGCGTGAAAATATTTGAAAAAAAAAATTTCGTCTGATTATTTAATGTTGAACAAAATTCATCTAAATACAATTATGATATGTTGTAATTTTTTTCTTTCCGAGTTGAATGTTCTATAAACTTTGAAATTCAAAAATTACCTATTAATTTTCTTTCTACTAGAACCGGGATAAGTCAAAATTTTTACCGGCCGGGAACAAGGACATTAAACCTAGAAGCTAGATTGCAACCTACAACATTATTTAGCTTCACTTTTTCAATTCCAAATAATTATAACCCTTTTGAAGATTGAAAGGCAACTATTAAGAGACTTAATCAAGCGATAAGCGATAAGGTTAGGTATTGGTTGTTGTAATATTATTCGGAGATCTGCTACACAAATTGGTTCAAATAATTAGATCTTGGATTTATTAATCGTAAGTTTTCTAGTTCCATTTGTCAACAAATTAACTTAATTTGTTATTGGGCTTTTATCATATAGCTTGAGTTAAAATTGACTAAAAGAAGTAAACAGCTATGGCCTGCAGGCTGCAGCCAGCTCGTTACATGCCTAATCTACAATAAATACATTCTCATTAAAGATGCTATGGCCTGATTAATTTATATATAATAAAACATGGGGATTTTAGCACAAATGATGCTTTTTGAAGGATTTTTTTTTTCATAAATAGTCAGAATTTTGTAAAATTACAAAAAAGTCCATTTTATTAACTTATTAATTAAATTAGCGGTCTATCACTGATTGACTTTTACTTATAACTGATTAATAACTGATTAACTCAAACATTCTTCATTGTTAATTAATATCGGTTAATAATTAACCAAAATCAATTAATAATTACTCAATTTTAATCAATAAATTATAGATTTATTAATGACAAACTATTAATAAATTATGGGTAATCCTAATTGTCAATGGGTGACCCACTGATTGACTTTTTAAAAAGGGAGTTATTTTAAAAATTCGGCCATTTACGAAAAAATATGGTAAAAAAAAGACCATTTAACTAATTTTTCCTAAGAGATGCTATGGCTCATAATAAATACAGTTTATATAGGCATACCTATATATGTATATATATTATGAATCATGAATCATGTGGTTGTAAGTATAGTCTAGCAATAATTGCACACTTAATTATTTTAAGGTGTACAGATGCAATCCTTTATTTCTAAGTTAAAAAGAAAAAGAAAAAAGGTTCATGAATATCTCGGGCATCAAGTCATCAACAATAAGAAAATTGAGATGATTTCCTTCGGAAAAAAAAGGGTATAAAAATGAAAATTGTAGAGGATTATTTAAAAGAAAAAAATTAATCTGTAGAGAAATTAAGGATCACGTGGCTTTGCTCGGGGCTGGATAATGGAATAATTACATCCTATATAAAAGCGTTGAAATATTGTCATCTTGTATTGGCCATTACTTTTTTTGTTTTGTTTTGTTTTTTTGTTCTTTTTTGTTCCTGAAATCGGCCATTTATACTTTGTTAATTGAACTTAAAGTCGCTTTGATGAGCATTTGTGTAATAGGGGGATTGGACCAAACCCATAACAGCAATTAAGACCAAAATAATAATAATATATATAATCATAATATACACACACACACACAGATCAACGCACATCCTGTATACATATACCACATATGTACAAAAACATATATATGTCTGGACATCCATTAGAATTTACATATATAGTTTTTATATTATCATATAGAAAAATCCTTTTTCAATTAGTAGTTATTCTCTCGGTAGCCATGTTTTTAAACATTATCTCGTTCGTTTCGCTTATTCGAGTTTAGAATTTGAGTTTTGCTACTGTAAAAAGCTCTCACAAATAGTCACATCTAACTTTTTTGCTACAGTAAAAAACTCTCACATAAAATCACATCTCAACTCGAATTCTAAACTCGAATCAGCCCTATTAATAAAATGCTTTTTCATACATTACCCTACAATTTATAAAATGCATTTTATATAAAGTATACGGTTCTCTAGTTCAACTGTTTTAGTTTTAATAATATTGATTTACTAAGGTTGTGCCGGCCCTCTTGGGGCAAGAATTTTTCTTTTTTCTTTTTTCTTTTAGACTTTGATAAAGAAATAAGAAAGGAAAAACATATTGTTGAACGGAAGACAACTCGAATAAAAAAAATATTGTTGAACGGAAGACAACTCGAATAATGGTTAGATTTTTTTTTCTCCATTTATTTCTTTTGTCTAGTTTCAAATTTCAATATCCAATAAACGATAGTTATAATCTCTAGATATTTCATGTTTTTTTTTTTTTTTTTTCAGAGAGATATTTATTACATACAAATAAGTATATCTTCACTCTATACCACTTCTTTTTTTCTTTTCTTTTTTTTTGCCATTGAAAAATAAAAGTACGAGAGAAAATTATACTTAGATATAACACCAGGACATTGTTCATGAGATCTCTCCCATCAAATAATATTATACCATTTCAATTAAAATATCATGTCACTCAAAATATTTTAATTGGTGTAACATAGTATTATTAGAGGATATGAAAATGGAGATGAATGAGCCGAACGTCAAAATATTGATTATTAAATGCTAATTGATTAAACTGTATAATAGTTAAGGTTTTCAAAGTCAAAGGCCTCTAGGTGACGTATTGATGAAACCGTTATATATGGGTCAAGAAATCAACAAGGACTTTTAAAGCAAGAAAACACGTAATCTTTCAGGAGACGTTTAGTTCATGAATTAAAACTATTTTTAATTTATGTGTATTTTTTATGAAAGAAAATACTATAATAAATCATAAATTATAATTCAAATCATGATTTAAATTCTCTAACCAGACATTCTCTCAGTGTGTGTTTCTAATATACTCAGAAAAATCTAAAAAAAACAACAGGCAATCCTTATGCAGAGCCACACGCGGAAAAAAGACTCATCTTTTTTTTTTTTTTTTTTTTTTTTTTTTTTGCATAGAAAACGCATAATTATTTTGTTGACCAATAGAAAGTTGAGTTAACTTGTATCGAACTGGCCTCTATTCTCATGTCAGTTATAATGTATGCTTGAAAAATAAATCCCGGAAAAAGAATCCATTTAAGACGTTAATTTTTTTAAATGTTATTACCAAACTAAATTAAATTCATCACCAAAAACATCGGCCGTGTTTAAAATTGATTCTATTTTTATTTTTTACGTTTTTTGATAAAAAAATAAAAACGTTTTTAAAACGGCGTTTGACGTAATAAAGACAAAAAACATAAATGAAAACGATTTTTTAGTCTAATGTAAAATGAGAGAGAAATAAAAAATGACTTTTAGTCGTTTTTCATTTTTTATTTTAGTTTTCTCTTCTCTCGAGCAGAGAGAAACATTAATAGAAAAGTCATTTTTTCATTTTTTATTTTCGTTTTCTCTTCTCTCGAGCAGAGAAAGAGAAACATTAATGAGTTTTTTTATACTGAAAATAATCTATTGATAAAACTACTAAAATCATTTTTAAAAGTAATTTCTATATGAGATTAAAAACGTTTTTTTTTTCATTTTTATACAAAAACTAAAATTATTTTAAAATGAGTTCTAAACACACCCATCAATTTTTTACTTTTTCTCAGGTCATAACAATCAGAAATTTCCTGATGCCAAAATTTTAATAAAGCACGTTGACTTTGAAAGAGAGAAAAAAAAAATCAAAATCAAAATCAAAATTTCACGTCACTTTCTATTCTAGCTACCTTAGCTAGTTTTTTCCAACTTTTGAATTGGAGCACTCTTCTTTACAAACCAACTTAAAATGCATTGCCTATATAAATGCATAACTCGTGTCGTGTGAAGTGAAGTGCATTTATATATGGTAGTTCCAGCAATATATATATATATAGTCTTGCATATATATATATCACCTTTCTTTCTCTTTGGCTCAAGCTTAAATATATTGATCAGACAGTGCTACATATATATATATATATATATATATATAATATATTAGATACAAATTCCACAATATGGGAGAAGTCTTGACAGAACAACATATTGCTGACTTTCAGGAAGCCTTCTATCTGCTTGACAAAGATGGAGATGGTATGTGATATATATATATATATATATATAGATATATAGAGTTCTTTCTTCCATAATTTCCCTTGTATTTCTTTCTTTCTTTTTTTTTTCTATTTAGAAATGATTGTATCGTTTGTGATAAAATATCCATCCGAATACATATATTTCGGTCATTTCTGTATATTTATGAAGGTATCGTAGATTTATAACCGGTTGTTGGTACATGGCTGGGGAAAAAAAAAGATGAATTAATTCTGCTTGATTAATATAACTATAATGTTAAAGTGCTCATTAACAAATTATTTGGTATATATAGGTTGCATAACGATTGATGAATTGGCAACTGCCATAAAATCTTTGGACCAAAATCCTACAGAAGAAGAACTGCAACGCATGATTAGTGAAGTAGATGTTGATGGAAATGGAACCATAGAGTTTGGCGAGTTCTTGAATCTCATGGCAAGGAAAATGAAGGTACATAAAATTAGAGCAAATTAAAAACAGAAAAAAAAAAAAGAGACCACTCTCTAAATGTTGTATTAATAACCATCATTTTTCTTTATTACACGTATTAATTAATAATTATTTTCTTTTTGAGATATATGCATATATTATGAAAGCTAATTAACGCGTAGGAACATGAGGCGGAAGAAGAACTGAGAGAAGCTTTCAGAGTGTTTGACAAGGATCAAGATGGCTACATTTCACCTACTGAGGTTGAACTAATCCAATTTATTGTTATTTTCGTTTCGTCCGTGCCACTAGTGTGTGTGTGTATATATATATATATATATATATATATGTATATATGAGTTTTTAATAGTTAGATCTCTATTACTGACCCGTTTAGTTCATGGATTATAATCATGAGATTATAATCATTTTTGATTTACGTGTGTTTTTTGTGAAGAAAAATACTGTAACGAATCGTGAATCATGATTCGAATCAGAGAACGAATCTTCCAACCAAATAGGCTATAATTAGATGAAGTAGCGTGATAAGAATATAATTTAATTAGTTGTCAATATATATACCCGGGCCTTAATTATTTCTTGTATGAAAATCCAAAAAAAAAAAAAGAATCTTTAAAATGTGACAACTGAAAACCCCGGAGGAAAAATGACAGAACCAATTTCAAGGATACAAATTTACAATTAGTCAGTGTCACGTACGCAGGTGCTAATAATTCACATCAGTCCAGCTTTTATTTTGACTTGGCTTCTAGAGTGAAATAAATAAATCCGAGTCTTAAATGTAATAATATACAATAATTTATACAAATATTAGATGTTAAAACAATCTGTGTTTATTATTATATTCAAATAATATAAGACTCGGGTTTATGTAATTAGTACTGTTTACATTAGGAAATATTCTTCGGAGTTAATTCTATATTTTATTGTAATAATGTAATACTATATAGATCCATCGCGTGATAAGTTAATAGACTACTTATATTACATCTTTTTCCTCTTGCTGCTACCCAAAAAGAAAAAGAGAAAGATTCATTCATTTTTAAGTATTTAAAAAAAAGAAAAATGGAAATTGTTTTAACACGATCTGAAATATACCCGTTGATCATGATCTTGTGTTTACAGTTGAGGCATGTGATGATAAATCTTGGGGAGAAATTGAAAGATGAAGAGCTAGAGCAAATGATCAGAGAAGCTGATTTGGATGGAGATGGTCTCGTTAATTACGAGGAGTTCGTGAGAATGATGTTGGTTGTTTGATCCATTAAGGGCTTGTTCTTTCAGAGTAAAATTTAAAAAATATTTGAACTTCAGTTATAACTTTATTTAAATTTATGTCTGTTTGTAAAATTTGAGTTTTAACTTGAGTTTTAACTCAAGTTTTAATTTGAGTTTGATGTTAAAATCTGAGTTCAAGTTTTTTATTCAACTCAAGTTCTTAAATTCAAACTCAAGTTAATGAACAATATTTTTTCTATTCTTAAAAACGTAATAACTTTTTCATTTTAATTCCGATTGAGATGATTTTTTTCTATGCGTTCACAAAGAAGAGACGAATAAAACTCCACCCAATTACCTATTAAAATTTTTCATCACCATTGAGTTTTTATTAAAATACTATCTAAATACAAATTTAAGTTTTGACCTACTCAAACACAAACTCAAATAGATTCTCAATTCAAATCATAAATGTGCACATCCAAAGACAAACTCAAGTTACAACTTCAATTCAAATTATAACTCAAATTCAACTCAAGATCTACAATCAAATAACTATAACTAGAAAATACAACCGAACAAGCCCTAAATCTTCCGTGTATCTTCAAATGATCATTGCCAAAATTTTATGTGATATGACAAAGAAAGACTTTCTTATTCGCCTATTTTCCTGATCTTTACCTGTTATTGTGTCTTCAATAATTATATAAGAAAAATAATGCTAATAGACACCAACTAATTTATCTCAATTTTTTTTTGTAACAATTTACGTGACATGTAAGTTGTCATTCTTTTATTAGTAGTTATTTAAAAGATTGTCACGTTAATTAATAATAAGTGATCACAGATGACAGCTCTATACCCTATAAATTAGTACAAAATAATTGAGATTAGAATTGATCTCCCTAGCCCTACTTATATAATAATAATAACAATATATATGTAGAGTTATGCATTACTAATTAATTTGAAATGGTCAGATTGAAATTTGGTGTGGCGTATATATAGCATCTATTTATTCTAATATTATTTATTGTTGTTGTTATTTTTTCTTTCTTTGGAAAGATAGTTTAAACATTGTTTATCAATGAAAGCATTTTCAACCATCCATTTCTCCATGATTTTTAAGTTTTTTTATGCCTTTTAAATGGGAAGTATTGTCAATTATATTTGCCTCAGTACGTTGTGTGACTCAATTAATTATGTCTATATCTACATCTTTTTCTATTGATTCTTTAAAGCTTGTAAACATATTTGTGTGATTCATAGTAAAAGAAATGGCGTTTTATTTGTCGTCACTTAATGTTGCTGCTGAAAATTGTCGGCGACGACAATAAAGTAGTTGCTGAAACGTAATAGCTAACAAATTTTCATGGTAAAATTCATATCTAATAAGATATCTTATTACTAGAATTGCCCAATACTTCTTAACATGCATTCATGATATATATATATATATATATATTATGTTTAATAATCTTTATTAAGGAAAAAAATACTGATACACCAATGTTAAAATTAAAACTTTCAGATGAGACTAAAAGAAGCATCAAATTTTTGTATTTATGTATTTTGCGAAAAAAACAATGAAAGTCTCAGAGTAGGAAAACCTGAGAAAGGGAGATAGAATAACCGATAAACACAGCAGGCCATTACAACATACAACTTGGACGTAAAATCAATAAGAGTATAAGGCTCCGTTCATTTCACAAATTTGAGTTTTACAGTAAAAAATTTTAATTTTTATTACAGTAAAAAACTCTCACATAAAGTCACATATCAACTCAAATTAACGAGCTAAACGGATCCTAAATATACATACCCGCACGTGCAGTCCTCTATACTCGCACACCAATTTGGGGTTTAGGATGCCCATGGTTGGAAAGGGATGTTAGTGCGGGTTTAATAGTCAATGGCACCATCTTAAATTTATTTTCCACCCGTTCACAGATCATTATTCTACTTGAGGTTGATGTGTTTGCTTGGATATGACGGGAAAAAAGTGGCAAATTAATGATTCATGAAAGTGTATATATAGTACTAACAAAGAAATCCCCCCCAAAGCTAGCTATTTGATAGGGTGATTCAAATATATAATATTCAGTTTGCTTCATTTAAAATATAAAAAAAAATCATGCTTCTTCTATTGTCAGATCCACCGGCAACGAAATGGATTGTGCTATAAAGAGAAGAGGCGCAAAACTTAAAGAAACATTCATTAGAGAATCTCCTAAATTCTAATTAAAAAAATTAAAAAGTTATTTTAATTAGTAATTTTTTAGTGAATTACTTTAATCATACTCTTTATTTTAACTAAATATAAATTATTTTAATATTTTTTTAGTTTAAAATATAAATAACTCTTTTTCACTTTTACTTTATGTCAAAATAAATAATAAAATAATAATAAAAAAACAAACAACTAGCCATTTCTTGCTAGGTATATGTAATTAGTGAAAAATGCTTTAATTAAAATAGCTAACTATTTAATAAATGGTTGAAGTCGAAAAAAACTAAAAAAAGTTAAATTATTAATTATTTTAACTAAAAAAATAAAATAGTTAGTATGGTTGTAATTACTCTTAGTATTTTTTTTTTATTCTTAAAAAAAGGGAAGGCATGCAATATTAGTCTTGAAACAGCATAATTATGACGTTTTTACTTTTTTTTGTGGCAATAATAAATGCATTTTAACTTTAGGGGTATCCTATACATTAATTACACTTTGTACCAAAAGAAAATGACGAGTCTGCAAAAAAAAAAGAAAAAAAAAAGCATTTTTGCCAAGTGTTGGCCCTTAAAATGGTGTATATATGCTTTTACGATAGTAATGCACATATACATTTTGTTTCAGAAGAGCCAAGAACCTTTTTCTTGGCTTTCAAGACAAGCTGTGGAATTCCTTGAAAAACCTATTTCGATGTTGGGAAATTAGTAACAAATTAATTATAATTAATGTCAGTAATATATTTTGAGTAATATACGCAAGGATTTTAAAATTTGATCACGTCACAAAATTATTCAATGGCCAAAAAAGTACTAAAGAAAAAAAAGTTTGCATTTACTCGCTAGCTAATGGGGACAGAAAGTTCTATATGTTAAAAAAAGAAAAAAAAAAGATGTAATCAAAGACTGAAGCTTGCTTATAAAATGAATAAATAAATGGCAAAAGAGAGATGAGCAAAGACTGAATTGGCTAGTATTGACTTAATAGGATGAACATGTATAGAAGTTTTCATATTTTTTTTTTGTATTTATATCTGTTTAAGTTCTATTTTATTTCATTTAGTTTGGTTGTCTAAATAAAGTTAAGTTACGATAATTATAATACTTAATGGTAATTTAATACTAAATTCTTGTGGAGACGATACTCACTCATTTTATACTATTAAAATTTGACACCGTATGCTTGCGGGTGAACAATATACACCATGTATTCTGGATATTTCAAGATTTTATATAAAAAATGTGTACCTTAACAGCTAGGTCAATTGATTATGAATTTACCCTTTTGTAACTTATGGTTAAACCTTAAAAAAAAAGGACAAATTTTTCTTTTGCAGCTTAAACATAACATCTAATTCGTATGTTGCTCAAGTTGCTATGTATAAGGGGTAAATCTGCCAATGTAGAAATAAAAATCAGTTGTTGGCCGTAAAATGTTATAGATTTGATACAAATTTAAAACTCAGTAGTACAATTTTAAATAAACCCAAAATATCTTCTTCATTTTACTAATTTGAGTTTCCAATTCTAATTTTATTATAGTTAAAAGCTCTCACAAAAATTCACATTTAACTTTTTCTGTTATAGTAAAAAGTTCTCATAAAAAATCATATCTCATCTCGAATTGAAAACTCGAATCTGAGAATTAAATGACTGTAGAGGGTTTTATATTTGATTTTGTTGGCATTCTTTCCTTATGAGACTAAAATAAGAATATTGACTCATTTCTAAAAATGACAATTTATCTTTAGAAAACTTCCAGGAAGGTCCTGTCATTTTCTATCAAGATATTTCTATTGGTGTGAATGTTAGTAAAGACGGAGTCAACATATTGAGGACGTATACTAATAATAATGATAAAAGAAATATGTATGACGATATTTTATAATAACTATCAAATATGTATATGAGAATAAAGATTAAAAAGTGTAAGGTTAAATGAGAACACGTATGGTAAGGTAAAATAGAAATATCATAGAATTTTTAGAGATTGAAATATAAAATTAAGAAAGTGAGTGGGATATCGGTTGTTTCATAGAGTCCTAGACCTAAAAAAAAAAAAGAAAAAAAAGAAAAGAAACATTAATGAGGGCTAAAGACTAGGAGTTTTTTTTTCTTCTTCTAATATACAGTACGTGCAAAAAAAGGTAATTTTTTTTAGATGAAAAGATTCTGATAACTGTGTAGTGTATATATATAAGCTCTATCTCGCTGTTATCGCCATTTTGAACAAATTTTACGACAACCTTTGCAATATCACATATATTGCTGCTGCTGCAGAAAACCATTGATCTTTGAGGCGTACGCATATTAATGGGCATTATTAACAGTGCAAATTAAGTTAATGCATTCAGCTTCTTGTCTTCAATTTAACTTTTCTCATTAATTTTAAAAATTCCCCTAAATTATGACTCTTATAACACTTTACCTTCTAAATTTTAAAACGTAACATCTGTTCCTCATGAACTTTGTTCTGTAATAAAGTTTCATCTTTTTGTTATAATGAGTGACAGAAATCGCCATATGTCACTTATTTAGTGAGAATTAGAAATATAATTACGTTTATACCCTCCTAATCAGATAATTTCTTATTTTTATTAAAAAAATTCACCATCATTGTTCCTAAATTCAGCCTCTTTTTCATCATCATCATCATCATCTTCTATTCTACGGTGTGTTTCAATCTAAGTTTCTCTTCCCCTCTCTCTGTGTAGTGTGTTTCAGTCTAAGTTTTTAAAGCACAAGTATTTGTCTCAGAGACCATTATTTTTTCCTTTTCTCTCTCTATCTTCTTTCTTTCCCTCTCTGCACCTTTT